AAAGGTACCATGGGAATATATAATCATACATACAATAAAGGATCAATATAAATTTGCAAAAGGGCAAATATAATACCCATGAGACAGAAAAGTTATAGTTTGTAAGAAATATCTGAATTGGGACCTGAAGAGATGTGAATATGTGTTGTGAACTAACAAGATGACCTCTACAATGACTGGAAATAAAGGAGGAAAGGTGTGGTGAAGCCAGGCACAGATTCATTCTCTGCAAAGTCATGGTCAAACACCCTAATTCAATGATGGTATGGGGTGCCTTAAGGTACCATGGGACAGGAAATGTTGTTGTCCTGCTGAGGAACCTGACTGTAAATGAGGACAGCTACTTGAAGCTCCTTCCTGAACAATTTGAGGACTGCTTTGGATATTGCCAGTCCAACATTTTCCAACAGGATGGTGCACCAGTCCACAGTCAAAATTAATAAAGAACTGGCCTGAATGAGTTGGTGATGACTACATCAAAGACTGGCTGAGGAATTCCTCACATCATAACTCCATCAAGAACTTCTGGTGGCTCACGAAGAGGCACATCAGGAGGAGGGACATCTTGACCGTGGCTAAGCTTGTGGAGCACCTCCATATGGGGTAACCTTGAGCCCAATCTCCTTAGCAACAGCTGGCAGAATCTGTCCCAAAACGCATGGCAAGTTGTGTGAAATGTAAGGGACTCATCACTTTGTATTAAGATCAGTGGGTACTCCCTCCTTATCACTTTTTATGTTGTGTGAATGTGCATTGTGAGGTGGTGCCAATTCTGATGGTGCTGACTGTATATACCTCCATTGCAGCCATATTGTATAAATCTAGCTGGTCATTGGTGATAGCTGCTCTGTCTGGGTTAAGTTTCTCATGAGCAACTGGGTCTTGTAACATCCACAAAAGCCTGGTTCTCTTGCCAATCTTGTGCATGGCCTGCAAAATCATGAAATATAATATAAACAAACCCATATACATACATAATTATATCCATTATAGTATAACTCTTACAATTAAGAAACATATAATGAATTCCAGACTAATAGGTACATTAAATGCAGAATGGAACAGGATTTTATGAAATCATAATTAATCATGACTTTGATTACAATAATCCCCTTAGAAAATGAAAGTGTCAATTATCACTGATGTCTCAACATCTTAACAAACCCCATTACAAATATCAGTAATAACTTACAGTTGATAAAGATGTTAAATTCCTCTTGTATTCTTCCAGTGCTGTTGCAGACCCATTAGATGCTTTGATGGCATGAGTAGCACTGCCCATAACAATTAACTTTGGCAAGTTTTTGCTTCGCTGCAGACAGTATGAAAATAATATGTAAAATACATCTTGTATATTACACAGCATACTTCATCCAAGCACACTCAGTATATATTTCCTACAGCGTCAACTTTAAATGTTCTCACAAGTTTCTTGGTCTTTTATTTTTATTTATGGAATATTAGTCTTTGTATTTGTTCTGAATTATCTTCATGCTTGTTATGCAAGTTCCTCAATATATAAGGTATAAAAGAACTATGCTATTAAAGCTATTATAAGTGAGGTGAATAAATTCTTGTCAGTACAATTTAAAATGAAGCTGGAGGAGAATGTGTGTATAAATTCAGAGACTTAATGAAACAGCTGAAAAGCATGTGTTTAGGAACATGTGACAAATGTGCTACATCAGCTTTCTGTACATCTGAGAGCATAAACAGATAATAAATTTTCAGTCACTGAAGTAAAGTACAATGACCATTTAACCTGTTGGATTCGGGTTATGTGACCATCATGTCATGAAAAAATCTGGATACAGAAGCAGGTCGTGTGAACATGCCATCACACAGGTGGGTGATGTGAACCTGCTGCTGTGAGTGTTGCGGCTGAAGGCCTGAGCGATGGAAAAGACTTGCCACAAGTGCACAAACCTATTGGGAGGTTTGCTTTACTCATTTGGCAATTTTGCATTATTCCCATCGATGTACAAGGGTGGAATGAAATGTCTGACTGGAAGAGCGCTGGCTCCAAGGAGGACGCCATTTCCAAGCTCAGCATCACATTTCTGGCAGCCATGGTGACTAAAATATTTCAAAGGGTTAATAATAATATCTGACTCATATTTTGAGTAACAGTATTTCCTTCTCACTATTTCTATTTTTGGCAGGGCTGAATTATGTTTGGTGATTCAAAATAAAATCTGACTGATAGTTTGAATAATATATACATATTCAAAATTCAGTTCTATGGACTTCCATTTAATGGATATTGGAAGAAATAAAAAAAATCTGGCTGCAAATGGAGTTAAGGCACCACTGAAAATGAGTAACTGCTTCGTAAGCTGATCCCTAATTGGCGGGTCCATCACTTCGTTTACATCAGTGTAGCCAAAAATGTAGTTAAGTGCTCCAAGGTTTTTTCCCCTTTTTTTATATATCAGTGTGTTTAAGTGGTCCAGTATTCATCCTTTTCTACAATAGTAAGCATAGTACTGTATTACTCCTCTTTCTGCCATGCTTGCAGCCACCCTACTGGCTCTAGCCCACTGTGCCAGGTGAACACCAGGTAGGGGCATGGGCTGGCAACTACACAGGCTTTACCACACTACACCTGCAGCCACCACACTGGCTTTATCCCACCATGCTAGGCAAATGGCAGGCACACAGCTGCACAGGCCTTGCCACACCATACTCACCGCCACCATGTCAGCTCAAGCCCGCCATGCCAAGCAAACAAGTGGGCAGTCAGTGATGGTACGACTGTGGTTAGGACAAAGGGGACCTTCTTGCATCTTTACAGTATGTCATCAACCTGATGAGTGACTAGAGCCTGTTTGGAAAAGGGAATGAACTTCATACCTATAGCTGGTATAGCCCTTTTGACCTTACTCTTTACCTGCAGAGTTAATGTACAGATGTGGTTAGTAAGATGTGGCTCATCTGCATGTCCATGGAGCTGTGCAATTTCACAGTAAAATGATCACTACAGGCAGTGCAAACTGTGTTGTGACAAAGGTGTCAGGAATTTGATATGAAGTTGTGTGCTTTAATTTTTGTTGTTCTGTTACTTTGGTTTAAGAGATACCACTGGATCACTAGTAGCACAGGGCAACTTTCTGACACCTCTTGTAAATAATACAAGTATTTAAGTATATCATACACACACACACACACACATATATACATAAATACATACATACATATATATATATATATATATATATATATATATATATATATATATATATATATATATATATATATATATATATATATATATATATATATTCACACACACACACTGCAAAATCATTTTGCAAAGGATGTAAACTATACAGTAATCTAAAACAATATGGCAGGCTAAATAGAAAGTCGAATACAGAGCTTGAAACATGGTAAAACAGTCAATTTGTTGCTTTAAAATGGACCTGTTTTCTTACAAATTGAGAAATACAAGGTCAGTTTAGCACAGGACTAGTCCCCTTCTAGCTGACAACTTGCTCTTCACACAAACCAAGAGGTAATGGGTTTATAGTCATTACATATAAAATTTGTTTTAGAATGGCTGAAAACCTATCTTAACACTTAAGAGCGAGAATTTGATGGCTCAGAATTCTATCATCTATTGGAGTTGAGTTTTTAAGAAAACATTGTCATCTAAGGAAGCTGAAGAATGAACAATTCGTAACAAGATTTATTTTACTACTATACAATGGATCACATACCTGAACTAATATCACAAATCCATTACAGATTTACTAAGTACATGTGAACTCATATCTAATGCAGAGCCAAAATAAAATAAAATAAAATAAGGAAAAAAGATACCTATGGCTGTTCATACCTTCAGTTTATCAAACAATTTATCCACCTCCTGGTCCATGTACGGCTGCCACAGATACTTGATATTTAGGTGAAGGTTGGTTTCGTTGTACTGCATATGATTATGAGGTTTCTCTGGGAACTTGGGTGGACTCACTGCTATCTGAAGAACACAATGTCAAAGTTTTTAAATGGTTTATTTTCTTTTATCTCTATCTCAGATTCCAATAACTTTTGAAAAGGTGATAGGTATCAACATTACAAACTCATTGGTACCAAGTTTCTCTTAAGGGGTAGACCAAAATGATGTAATCCCTTCAGTCATGACCATAGAACTCAATGAATGTAATATATCCATCAAAAAATAATAATCTACAATAACTTTATAATATATATTTTTCAAGGTCATCCCCCCCCAAAAAAAAATCTTTAATTAATTTCCTCTTTCCTATTAAAATCCTTATTTTGGTAAGGTATCAAAATGTGAAAAATATGTCTTCACCTGTAGCTATATAATTAAATATCTGCAATGAAGCTAAAAATATTATGATTAAGCAAGAAAAAATTGAAAGCTTGTCACTGACTTATTTTTTCTTAACCATCCCCAATGATGAGATGAAAAAAATCAAATAAAGAAAAAATGACAACCTAGAAAATATATATATATATTTTAATTCTTAAGGACTATAACTGTATTTGCAACTGGTTGGGTGTTATTTCTTGCTGTGCACATATATAAAAATACTTGTGTTTGTGTATATGAAAGTATGTATACGCTAATGTACATGTTTTCACAGATGTATCTGCTATATATTCATCAGCTCTTAAGCTGTGCACAACAACACACATGTCTTGCTTGCCATCCTTGTTTGTTACTTAATATATTGCAAATCTTTATATTTTACCATCGATATTACCATTTTTTTTTTGGCTGAAACATGTAGAAAGGTTACCAACTTTATCTAACCTAAAGTTTTTTATTAATTAGAGTTTATTGTATTCTTACAAAGCAAATTTACAATAATTTGTGCATTCTCAAATAGAATAGAGTACATTTCTTTCCTATATCAACTCAATGGACCAGGGAAGTATTGTACTGAGTATTGGGTGACGAGAAAGTGCCATCATGGAAAAATTTGTCTTAAGGCCACTCACACACACATGAATGCACGCACACATGCACATTAGTGTGCATACTCACACTCAAATGAGGGAAGGACAGGAAAATGCACAAATATGCCGAAGGCCTTTACTGCTTCATCAGGGTATGCCCGGATGAAGCACTAAAGCGAAAAGGTCTTTGGTGTATTCATGTGTTTTCCTGTACTTCCCTTTGCTGCTCTACTTGCAATATGTTCGACATGAATTCTACACACACAAACACACACACATCTATCTATTTATCTAGAGAATGGAGAAAAGAAAGGAAAACAAAACAAAGGAAAAAGTATATTCACAGCTCCTGACATGGATGTTACATAAAGGGTCTCACCTCTGGATAAAAGGACCAAAATGTATGTAAAATGTAAAATGCCAACCAGAGAATACACCCAATTCATGCCTAGATGCCTCTGAAGAAATTTATTGCCTGGCTTCTATCCCTCCACTGAGCATTAATGATGAGTATTCAAGTAAATCAAAGGAAATTTGTAAATTTGTTTACTTCATTTATGATCATTATTATTGTCATCAATCCATTGCTGATGGGGATGTATGTATGTACATGCCATGTCCACACTGTGAGTTTTGTCTATCAGTTGTATTTACACACAGATGGCTTAACAGCCTCCAGGCTAGTACAGTGGTAGCATGTCAGCCTCTCAATTGAGGGGTCAGCAGCTCACATCCCACCCAAGAATGAAAACTTTCAACTGTCGCCTGGAAGATGCTACTGTGGTTCAGCACCACGTGGGTGAGGACTAAACTCAGTGAAGTCAGTACCAGCTGCTCAGACTGTATCTGAGTTGGCATTAGTCAGCACAGGCTGGGTTCATAGACTTATTCGTAACTGCGCCACAAGTGTTTAGTCATGAAGGAGTCAATTAATAGTTCTACCTGTCTCACCTGTCTACTGTTTTCCTTGCTTTTATAGAAATATTCTCCTTTTATTCCATACAGCTATTAGTACTGTTAATAACACTGTAATAGTTATGATAATAATACTGACATCGTCAATATTAACCCATTCCAGCTGGGCATGCCATGCCATGCCCACTGTGAGATTACTTGTTGGATTGTTTTCACACATAGATGGCTACACTTGTACTAAATCATCAATGAGCCAGTTACGAGTACCGCCTGTCTCGCCCGTTCATCCTTTTCTGTGATTTAAGAAATATTTTACGTTACGTTATCTTATTTTGCTGTTTACTAATGTTAAAAACATTATAAAAATTATAATGTTTATGATAAAAATAACACCATCGATATTCATGGCACTAGTGAAAAATAATTTTTTCCCACCATTTCAAACCAGGTAGTCTTGCTTGCCATCCTTGTTTGTTACTTAATATATTGCAAATCTTTATATTTTACCATCGATATTACCATTTTTTTGGGCTGAAACATGTAGAAAGGTTACCAACTTTATCTAACCTAATGTTTTTTATTAATTAGAGTTTATTGTATTCTTACAAAGCAATTTACAATAATTTGTGCATTCTCAAAAGAATAGAGTATATTTCTTTCCTATATCAACTCAATGGACCAGGGAAGTATTGTATAGAGTATTGGGTGACGAGAAAGTGCCATCATGGAAAAATTTGTCTTAAGGCCACTCACACACACATGGCTTAACAGCCTCCAGGCTAGTACAGTGGTAGCATGTCAGCCTCTCAATTGAGGGGTCAGCAGCTCACATCCCACCCAAGAATGAAAACTTTCAACTGTCGCCTGGAAGATGCTACTGTGGTTCAGCACCACGTGGGTGAGGACTAAACTCAGTGAAGTCAGTACCAGCTGCTCAGACTGTATCTGAGTTGGCATTAGTCAGCACAGGCTGGGTTCATAGACTTATTCGTAACTGCGCCACAAGTGTTTAGTCATGAAGGAGTCAATTAATAGTTCTACCTGTCTCACCTGTCTACTGTTTTCCTTGCTTTTATAGAAATATTCTCCTTTTATTCCATACAGCTATTAGTACTGTTAATAACACTGTAATAGTTATGATAATAATACTGACATCGTCAATATTAACCCATTCCAGCTGGGCATGCCATGCCATGCCCACTGTGAGATTACTTGTTGGATTGTTTTCACACATAGATGGCTACACTTGTACTAAATCATCAATGAGCCAGTTACGAGTACCGCCTGTCTCGCCCGTTCATCCTTTTCTGTGATTTAAGAAATATTTTACGTTATCTTATTTTGCTGTTACTAATGTTAAAAAACATTATAAAAATTATAATGTTTATGATAAAAATAACACCATCGATATTCATGGCACTAGTGAAAAATAATTTTTTCCCACCATTTCAAACCAGGCGCTAACAGAGCCATCTATGGGTAGACATTTAATAGCATTAGAAAAAAAACTAGGGAAGGGGACCTCACATAGGTCTACTAATTGATTCCTTCATGGTTCCTCTCTTGTTTAACATTTGTCACATTTAAGAAACCATTACTACAGAGAACTTTACAAGTTAAGATGCAAGAAGAAATGCACTGCATATATATCTTTAG